TGTTCTTCACATGTACCCCAAAACCTAAAATGCAATTAAAAAAAAAAAGAGAATGTATTCTCTGGAGAACACAACAGAAATACTGGCTGGTGGGAAGGGCAGGGTAATTTCTTACTACTGCATTTGCATCTTAAAGATTGTTCCCAGAAAGCTGTAAGATTTGATGACATCTGGTTTATATTATGCATACTGGCATTAAAATAATTGAAATTCTTGTTATCTCCTGTTCCCATGGTTCCCAGCTTTGTATTTCTCAGATTAGTAATATTTTAATAAAAATCCTAGGGACTGAAAAAAACAAACAAACAAAAATTATAGCAGGTATCTTTTCTGACCACATGGAATAAACCTAGAAACCAATAATAGAAGGAACGTTGGAGATAGTACAAATTTATGGAAACTAAACAACATGCTCCTGAACAATGAATGGAGTCAATTAAGAAATTAAAATAAATTATAAAATGTCTTTGGACAAATTGAAATGGAAACACAGCATACCAACACATGGGAGGCAAGAAAAGCAGTTCTTTGAGGGAAGTTTATAGTAATAAACACCTACATCAAAATGTAGGAAGACTTCAAATAAACTAATGATGCACCTTGAGCTAGAAGAGCAAGAACAAACCAAAACCAAAATTAGAAGTGAAATAGGCTGAAAGTCTCTAAGGATGGTTTGACATAGCATGGCAAATTAAGAAACATGGTACATCACGTTCACAGAATAAAGGACAGAAACCGTATAATTATTTCAATAGATGCTAAAAAGATTTGATAATATTCAACATTTCTTCCTGATAAAAACTCTCACCAAACTGTTGTGTATAGAAGGAACACACTTAAGAACAATAAAGGCCATTTGTGAAAACTCATAGCTAATATAATACTGAATTTGGAAAAACTGAATCCCTTTCTGTGAGCTCTTAGAACAAGACAAGGACGCCTATTTTCATCACTCTATTCAACATATGAGTGGAAGTCCTAGTCAGAGTAATTTGTCAAGAGAAGGAAATAAGACAGAAAGAAGTCAAATTATCTTTGTTTGTAGACAACATGATCTTATATTTAGAAAAATCTAAAGACTCCGCCAAAATACTGTTAGAGCTGATGAAAGAATTCAACAAAGCTGCAAGGTACAAGTTAACATACAAAAATCCGCATTTCTGTAGAGCAGCAGTGAATAATCTGAAAAAGAAATTAAAAAAGCAATCTCATGTACAGTAGTTAACAACAACAAACTCTAGGAAAAAATTTAACCAGAAAAGTGAAATATCTTTATAATGAAACCTAAGAATTGAAGAAGACACACAATAGGGAAAGATATGTTCATGGATTGGAAGAATAATGTCATTAAAATGTCCATACTACCAAAGCAGTCTACAGAGCCGATGTAATCTCTATCCAGTCACCAAAGACACTCTTCAGAGAAATAGAAAAAAGTCCTAAATTTCTGTGGAACCACAAAAAACCTCAAATACCCAAAGAAATCCTGAGCAAAAAGAATAAAGCTGGAAACATCATACTACCTGGCTTCAAAATTGACTACATAGTTATAATATCCAAAACAGTATGGCACTAACAGAAACAGACACATAGTTTAATGGAACATAATAGAGAACTTGGAAATAAATTCATACATTTCCAACCAATTGATTTTTGACAAAGGTTCCAAGCACATAAACTGGGGAAGGGATGGTGTCTTCAATAAATGTGGTGGGAAAATTGGATATTCATAAGCAGAAAACTGAAACTAGACCTCTGTCTCTTACCATATATATATATAAAGCCAATGTATATTTGATTGGATTGGATGTAAAACATGAAACTACTAGAAGAAAATATTGGAGAAATACTTTAGGACAATGGTCTGGGCAAAGATTTTTTGGATAAGACCTCAAAGGTACATGCAACAAAAGCAAACATAGACAAATGGGGTTACATCAAGCCAAAAAGCTTATGAACTGCAAAGGAAACAATCAACAGAGTGACAGCCTACAGAATGGGAGAAAATATTTGGAAGCTATCCATGTGAGAACAGATTAATAAGCAGAATATATAAAGAAATCAAACCTAACAGCAAAAATAATAATCCAGTTAAAACTAGACAAAGATTCTCAATAGACATCTCTCAAAAGTAGACATATAAGTGACCAATTGGGGTATGAAAAACTGCTCAACATCACTAAATTTAAATCTAAAAAACAGTGAGATATTATCTCATGCTAGTTAAAATGGCTGTTATTAAAAAGTCAAGCTGAGTGTGGTGGCTTATGCCTGTAATCCCAGCCTTGAGAGGCTGGGGTGGGAGGATTGCCTGAGCCCAAGGGTTGGAGGATGCAGTGAACTATGATTGTGCCATTGCACTCCAGCCTGTGTTACAAAGTGAGACCCTATCTCAAAAACAAACAAACAAAAAATCAATTTTTAAAGGAAAGTTTAAAAATTGCAGATGCTGCCAAGATGTGGAGAAAGGGAACAGTAACAGTTGCTAGAGATGTAAATTAGTATAGCTACTTTGGGAAATATCGGGGTCTGACCCACAGACTCTGCCCCAGTGACGGATGAACAAATTCACTCAAACAAAAATTTCCAGTGAAAGAGTATTTATAAATATCTTTAGCATATTTACGATTTTTGTTTTAGTATGCTTGCTTGCTAATTAGAATGACTTGGTCATCTGTGTGTCATCTCCTATTTGTTATGTTTTCTCTTAATTGTGCTGCTTGTTTTCCGGATATTTTGAGTATGTATCATAATTTTTCCCTAAATTTAGGGCATTTTATTTAAAGAACAGTGGGAAGTGATATGTACTATTTTTTTTTTTTTTTTTTTTTTTTTGCTTTGTTTTGGTTCCCCCATGGAGTACATGCCCTTTTCTGTGTTTAGGGTAAGGGATTGAGTTTAGTTGAGTTAGTGCTAGGCTGCAGTCTCTGATTCAGTGTATCTGTTACTGGCTCAGCCTTCCAAGGGGCCTCCTTTTTTTTATCTTGACAGTTTTTGAGCTAGGGGTGGGGATTTGGTTGCAGGTTTAGATACTCTTGATTTACTGTTGGTTTACTTGGATTCTGGAATTTATTTGCCTAGAGAATACCAGAGATTACCATCTTCTGTCTTCTCAAACTTGAGGGATTATGTTGCAAGGTGAGTAATATGGGAGACTTATTGGGCCAAACAATCTCTTTTTGTGTGGGGATTATTACAGTCTCTAATCCATCCTGCTATCCCACACTGTTGTCTACAGCTTGGCTGATTTCTGCTTGCCTAACAATATGTATTTGTCTAATGGAAGATCACCTGTATTTAGGCAAGGTGTTTGCTCAAGGCAGGGAAGCTGTCATGGTTCTCTGCTTATTTATGAAAGTTCAAGTTTTATTTTCCTCTGGAATTCTATTCATCAAAGCTTCTTTACTCATTTTAGCCCCACAGAAAATGTCATAACCATGAGAGTAAAGGCCTTTCTTGTACTTCATCCCAACCTTCAGGAACAGAAGTTATGTTGGACTTCTTCAGTAACTTTTAGTTATGTTGTACTACTCTTTGAAGTCTTTTGATTGTTTACCATCCAGTCTTATACAGGCTAATATTTACCTTCCTTCTATTCTATATCTAGGTCTTTATAAAATTAAAAAAAAAAAAAAAGGTTTTTAAGAGAGGGTCTCTTGCTCTGTCACCCGGGTTGAAGTGCAGTGATATGATCATAGCTAATTGCAGCCTCAAACTCCTGAGTTCAAGCCATCTTCCCACCTCATTCTCCTGAGTAGCTGGGACTATAGACACGTGCCACCATGCCCAGCTAATTTTCTTTTTTTAATTTTTTGTAGAAACAGGCTCTCTACTATGTTGCCCAGATTCATCTCAAACTCTGAGCCTCAAGTGACCTTCCAGCCACAGCCTACCAAAGTGCTGGAATTACAGGTGTGAGCCAGTATGCCTGGCCTATGTCTAAGTCTTAAGATTAAAAACAACAACTCGACTTCTGTATCTTGTGAGATTTTCTGTCTGCTTCTGTTGGCTGAATTCTGCATTTTTGCCATTATTAAAAATTCTAGATTGTTCTGTAGTTCATAAGCACAATGATTGAGTTTTCATGCTCATGTGTGAGATGTAGCTCACTCCAGTCTTGTTACAGTGTTAGCATATTACCTGTCTGATAGGAAGAAAAGAATTCCTAACACTTGCCAAAAAGAAAAGGAAACTCAAGTGGCATATTTTGTCAGAATTCTAAATATGTTTATTTGAGTCATAGTCTCACTAGCATGATTTTATAAAATTCCAATATATCAAAATTTAAGATTTTAACATATAAATTTGGAATGAATCTTCATGGGCTAGGAATAGGACCAGTGTTGTTATACATATGGTAACTTTATAAAAAGTCTCTTCCTTTGAGTGGGCAGATTATAAAATGGTATCCCTTCCTGCTCTAGGCTTGTCGCCTGATTTCAGCTGTCACTTTACCTATTGGCTAGATGCCCTTGTACTATCTATACAGTTGTATACAGTGCATTTGAATCAGGAAGTACTTTAATTGCTTTCTTATAAGAGACAAGAGAGATTTACAAAAAATTACCAAGTAGGAAATTCATATATGGCCACTGTTGACACATATATTCTTTTCTGGTTTTAAAAGTGGGGTCAATTTGTGCTATTGCTTTTAACTTGCTTCTTATAACTATAAATTAACATCTTATGGAAAGCCTATTACTAAGAAATTTCTATACAATGTTACACATATGTTCTATGTATTATAAAGCCTGAGGGTGTCAAAAGAGGTAGTGATTGGAGACAATAAAACTAAGATATTTGGAATTTGTGTTCTGGTGCTTTGCATGTAACAAGTACTGAAACCTGTTGGTTGAATGTTAGAATTTCTGAAATAAGTAAAAGTAAACCCTTAAGTTTAAAGGAAGTAGTTTACCTGTCACTTCAGGAACAAATCTATTTTATGAAGCACACTTTACTGTTATTAAAGCATTAAAAAATTTCTGATTTTTGTTCCATAGGTATACTGCAACATCCAGATGGCACAGTTTTGAAACAGTTACAACCACCTCCAAGGGGCCCAAGAGAGCTGGAATTCTATAATATGGTAAGTGAGGTAAGATTTGTTTCATTGTATTAAAAGTGTTTTTCAGAGTTGTCTTGTGGTGACTCACAGTAAGACACATACTTGACAGCATGGTCACTGTGTGTATGTAACAGAAACAAAAGCTTCATGGAAAACAATGCTTATCTTTATGTGATTCAGTCTAGTATTTTCTATTTCAATTCTTAGATTCTTATTCTGTGTTTGTGGTAGATACTTCTTCTCAGGTTAAGGAAATTGAAATTACCCTCTGTGAGGCAACATTTTGTCAAGAAACGAATGGTATGCTCAGTTGGTTTCATAAAGGAACTATTTACAGAGGTAGGGTCAGAGCTTATGGCAACATGCAAGAGATGTTATGATGTTATACCATCCCTGGGCCTGATGTGGAGAGAACGTTTCCTGGAACCCAGGGAAGGTAACTTCATGAGAAGATATGACCTGTTAAGGAGGAAGCTAGAGAAGTAAATAACTGACCTCAACTCTTCTCATATCCTCTAGTCTCTTATTTTTGTCTTCTAAGAGCAAAAAGGCAAAGGACCTCACTGATGCAGTTGATATAAGTCAGCCTCTTGGGTGGAGCAGGGTGGAGTGGGAAAGGGACGATACATAGCATCTTTTCCTGTTTTGATTTTTTCTTTTTTTGAGATAGGTCTGGCTCTGTTGCCCAGGCTGGAATACAGTGGCATGATCTTGGTTCATTGCAACCTCTGCCTCCCAGGCTCAAGCTATCCTCCCACCTTAGCCTGTTTCTCCTAGGTAGCTGAAACTACAGGCGTGTATCACGGAGCCTAGCTAATTTTTGTATTTTTTGTAGAGATGGGATCTCACTTTGTTGCCTAGGCTAGTCTTGAACACCTAAGCTCAAGTGACCCTCTCACTTCAGTATCTCCCCACCCCTACCCCAACCTCCCCACGGTAGCTGGAACTACAGGCACAGGCCAGCATGCCTGGCTAATTTAAAAAAATTTTTTTTGTAGAGATGAGGTTTCACTATGTTTTCCAGGCTGGTCTTGAACTCCTAGGCTCAAGCAGTCCTCTTGCCTCTGCCTCCCAAACTTTTGTGATTACAGACATGAGCCACGATGCCTGACCCTTCTAGTTTTAGGAAACAATTTAAAGCATGAATGAACATTGAATGTTTTCCAGCTACCTTTTTTTTTTTTTTTTGAGACGGATTTTTGCTGTTGTTACCCAGGCTGGAGTGCAATGGCACGATCTTGGCTTACTGCAGCCTCCGCCTTCTGGGTTCAAGCAATTCTCCTGCCTCAGCCTCCCGAGTAGTTGGGACTACAGGCAAGCACCACCATGCCCAGCTAGTTTTTGTATTTTTAGTAGAGACGGGGTTTCACCTTGTTGATCAGGATGGTCTCGATCTCTTGACCTTGTGATCCGCCCGCCTCGGCCTCCCAAAGTGCTGGGATTATAGGCGTGAGTACTGCGCCCGGCCCTTCCAGCTACCTTTTTGATATCTATTGAAATGATGATGTGAGTTTCCTTCTTTAATCTGTTAATGTGGTAAAATACAAAAACAGATTTCTATATCATCATGTCTATAATCCCAGCTACTTGGGAGACTGAGGCAGGAAAGTCACTTGAATCCAGGAGGCAGAGGATGCAGTGAGTTGAGATTGGGCCACTACGCTCCAGCCTTTCAGATTTTTTATTTGTTAGTGTGATAGTACAATACTTTTTTTTTTTTTTTTTTTTTTTTGAGATATGATCTTGCTCTGTTGCCTAGGTTGGAGTGCAGTGGCACTATCTCTGTACTCACTACAACCTTGGCTTCCTAGGTTCAAGTGATTCTCCTCCCTCGGCCTCTTGAGTAGCTGGGATTACAGGCTTTTGCCACCATGCCAGCTAATTTTTGTATTTTTGATGGAGATGGGGTTTCGCCATGTTAGACTAGAACTCCTGACCTCAGGTAATCCACCTACCTCAGCCCCTCAAAGTGTTGGGATTACAGGTGTTAGCCACTGCACCTGGCCTAGATTACCTTTTTAATACAAAATTGCCCACTTGACAAAGCTTTTCCTAGTATTTTAAAACAATTTCTGCTCTGTCAGTTGAGATTCCCTTTTCATTCCTAATATTGTTTATTTGCCACTTCTCTGTTTTTCTCTATCAGCTTAGCTGCCAGCATTCTTGGAGTTTAGTGGTTGAGGGAGGCAGAAGGAAGCCAAGTTCAGGTTTTAGAATTTTATTTACTCTCTGTGTTTTAGTATAGTAACTGTCCTCAGCTCTGCCTTGTTCCCGAGTTCTGAGATCCTTTGGTTTAAGTCTTGAGTGAACCTCTGTGAAGCCCAAACATCACTGCTCAGGTTAACACTTCTGTTTCATGCAAAAACTGAGAAGAATTGCACTAAGCATGCAAAACTAAGAAGAATTCCCTTTTTTTTCCTTGACAGCCCAGCTATGCATTTAAGAAAGTATTTGTTATATTTTATTCTACATTTCTAGATAGAAAGATTTTTAGGTTATCTCATCTGGCATATTACAGTAAACACCAGTCCCACTACTTTTAAAAAATATTAAAAATCAGAAGAAAAAATTTATCTCTTTCATTTCCATTTCAGAATTAAACTATGAGTAGTTTTAAATGCATATTTTTAATTTTTCCTATGCCTTTACAGAGATGATGCACACATGTGTATCTTACTTAATTTCATGAACCTGCTATATATATTTGTATGTAATATGCCTTTTATCTTTTTGATTTATAAATACATCATGGAGTTCTTTAGATCAGTACACAGAGATCTGTTTTATTCCTCTGTCTTGTAATTAGCTTATCCTCAACTCTGCACCCATGGTCATTGTGTTAGAAATGGAGGGACATTCAGGTATACTTGCTCTAAATTACGCTGGCCTGGAAGTGACTAATATCACTGCTGCTAACATTTCAACAGGGGAGTCTGGGAAATACAGTGTACCACATGGATATTTGGTCTGCCAAGAGTCTGCTACACTTGAGTTTATTCTGAAGAATTATGTTGCATACAGCTACTTGACATTAATATGGTTTGGCATATATAATTATATTCTAAAACAAGTTTTCCTAAGCATTTTACACCAGTAAACTTCAGTGAGATAAAAGCAAAAATCCACTTACTGATATAAAATAAATATGTGTAAAAGATTTGCTTTAACTTACTGTTTAATGAGAGAACCAGGCAGATTTTAAAACTGATTCAAAAGAGAAGTCAAGAAAACACACATTTATGTGGAATAGTGGAAGTTAGAGATGAATTTTCATATGGACACTACATATCCTCCTCTCAGGATGCATGGAGGAAACTCAGAAGAACGTCCTCTGACCAGAATTTAGTTGCATGTCTATGGACAAGAGTCATTTTGCATTTGCTATCAATATCTGTAACTTACAAAGTTGTAAAATAGTCCAAGGACAGTAAAAGGCTAGAATTAGATAACCAAGAAGAGAGTATTCTAAATAATACATAGTTACTCATTGGAGACCCACAGTAATATTTTTCACTTGTTCCAAATTTACTTGCAGTCGAAGCCAAACCGGATGAATTATGATTCAACATAATATATTTTATCTGAGAAATGTGCAGGGTAGTTACAAATCATTATAGGAACCTAGCAATGTTACATTTCTCTGTTTCAGGTTTATGCTGCTGACTGTACTGATGGTGTTCTTCTAGAGCTACGAAAATATTTACCAAAATATTATGGCATCTGGTCACCTCCCACTGCACCAAATGGTAATCTTTTTATAAAAATTATCTTTTAATTAATGAGTGTAGCTTCTTTAAAGGCCTTACGTAAAATTAAAATTTGACCTAGTATGTATTACAAAAACACAAAATATGTATGTTTTGCTTTCTAATCTTTCTTTCACTAAATAAAACTTACTAATACTTTTGTTTTCATAACCATTTTTAAAATGACTTATACAAGTAAATGGTTAATCTCTTATAGTTGAATGGAAGCATATATACTTAATGCTATCTTAATTTGCAGATGTTCTGTCCTAATTTATTGTGCAGTTTCTTTTCCCATTTTGAGTAATGTTTTAAAAATCAAGAAAAATACTGACTCTGCGTGACTTCCTCCCTGTCTCTTAACCTGTTCCTTCATCCCTCACCTCTAGGCTTTAAATTACAGTCCTTTGAAAAACACTGGTAAGTTTCATAGAGAATAAAATGACCTAAATAAGGGTGCAGAATTTCTCTTTTTAAAGATTAACTAATACCTGAAGCAGTATTTGCCCCCAGAAGGCCGTTACCCGAGCATACACAGTTTAATTAAACAAGCAGCTTGAGATCGACTAACCATTGACGAAGGTGAATTGAGGGGAAAGAGCTTCAAACTTTAATGAGTTTAAAAATAACCTGTGGTCTTGTTAAAATGCAAATGTATAAGCCCAACTCCCAGACATTTTTTTTATACAAATGTATGTTGGAATGTAGTGATAAGCTTGTTAAATAAAAGCCATGGGTATTTCTGATGTGGATAGTTCTTGAAGCACACTTTGAGGACAGAAAGAGAAGGGGATTCCAGTCTGTTCCTGCCTATTCCTTTTGTCAGTTCTTGTCTTCCTATGACTTACTGACTTCATATGCCAGATTTTGCTAGTAGGGAACCCTGGTATCTCTCTGTGAGTCTCCTCAGCTAGCTAATAGTAAATCGATGGCTCCCTTTTATTTAGGATTCCCCTGGACTTTAATTGTATGGAAAAAAAGAAAGTGAGCTGAAGCTCCATCGACTATCTTTTTTCCTTCCTCCCTCTCTGAATTCCTTCCTTCTTTTTGTGGGCTTACAGGTCTTTTTATTCATATATATATATATATATATATATATATATATATTTATTTATTTATTTAATTATACACACACACACACACACACACAGATACATATTTGTCTATGATTCAGATTAACATTTTGCTTAAATTATTTCGCAAGTCATTATGATTGCCCCAAATTTGGTCATCATTCTCTATATAATCTCTTGCACATGCCTGTAGAAACTCTTTTGCTTTGTAGACCTTTCCATTTAATGTCTTCCTTTTCTTTCTCCCTTTGTGGTAAGTGGAAGTTTTCAGGAATGCTAGGAATGAGATAAAGGAAAGGAGAAGTTACAATATCTAGATTCCAATGAACATTGCTTCTGATCGCTGTTTAATTTAGAGTAAATCACTATTTTTCTGTAAAGTGATGCTGAAATATTAACAAAGGTTGCTGAGGATGGTGTTTGATTAAAAATCTAGATAATTAAATGCTTAGTTAAAAGATTGTTTGGAAAGAGTAGCATAACTAGCAAACAGCATAATTACTATGAGTAGAGTATACAGAAAGAATTTGGATAAGAGAAATATTTTAATTAAAGATAACATTTTTAGTTTAGATCTAATAGCATATGATTTAAATAATCAACGGATTGCTAGTAATCAATCTTTTTGGCCTTTCATACTATATAATCTCGAAGTTCAGCTGTGCTAATATAGAAGGAACAGTAACTTTGAAGTTAAAATATTTGGCCTCTATCTTGGTTATTTACAAGTTTTGTGAACTTGGCTAACTCAGTAACTTTTTTGAGCTCCACCTTTTCTACACATAGAAAGTAATACCACAGAGTTGTGAAGATGCATGTAATCTTATGTGAAAATATTGTATAAACTCTAATTCTCTCATTTGAAAATAAATGGAGATATTGGTGCTAAGATGAGAGGATGAAGTAAGGAAGCTGAGTGAAGAGAGGAGAAAATCTAAACTGAAGGCTAAAAAAGGACAAGGAATAAAGTTATATACGATAACAGAGTGGTCCAGTAGTACCAACAATTGCCTCAAGTGATTTTCTACTTATTTCCTACTTCTTTACCTTTGGAAGAAGTTGGACAAAAGTGTTGGACCACGTAGATTATTTTCTTTGATTTTACTAGCAGTTTCATATAATCGTCTTTCTGTTTTTATCCTTTTGATTGTAAATGAAAGAAATATAAGATGGCAAACTTATGTACATGTTTAGCTCACAGGATCATGAAAACATATTTTCTTAAATTTTAGTAGAATACTATGGTTTGCATTACTGTGTTTTATGTGGTCTTAAACTAATGACATTATTTCCTGTTGGTTTTGTTGTTGTTTGGGTGTCTTTTCTTATGTATTCAGAGTGGAGTTTTATAAAGCTGATATTGTTTTTAATAATCCGAAGTAGTAAAATGCTGAGAGCCAACTTTTTCAACAAATTATTACATAATAATAATTTGAAGAATAAGAATGTTCTGACCAATGAGGTTTTTTTCTTTTAATTTTGTTATGGTAGTTTTATTGAGGTATAATTTACATACCATAAAACTCACCCATTTAAAGCATACAACTCGGTGGTTTCTAGTATATTCACAGAATTGTACGATCACCATGATTATCTAATTTTAGAACATGAACAGTGGAATTTCAAAATTATAACATTTGTTGGCAATTAGCTTTGAACATTTCAGGCTAGTTATGTATAATAAATATCATTTGTACCTGTGTATAAACATGTAAAAGGCTATACATGTAGCATCCAAAACCTTTGGGTATAATTATTTGGAGGGACAGAAAAGTATAACATCAAATATGTTTGAAAAAATGGAGAGTTTTCAAAATGTAATCTCTAGCCTGATTGATTGGCAGTTTTCTGGATCTAGCTACTACTCATGTTGCAGGAAGCGTGAACTGAAACAAGCTGATATACATGTCTGTTACATCCCTCTTCCTTTACCCCAAATCTGGGGCCCCAGTTCTCTATTTATTATTCTTTCTGCTTTCAACTTGTGTTGTTCTTAGAAATAGCTGAAGATTGATATGGAAAAGAAAGGTCTTGTCTCTTCTATTAGTCCATTTTTCATACTGCTTTAAAGATATTTCCTGAGATTGGATAATTTATAAAGAAAACAAGTTTAGTCGACTCATAGTTCTGCATGGCAGAGGAGGCCTCAGGAAACCTATAATCATGGTGGAAGGTGAAGGGGAAGTAAGGCACATCTTACATGGTGGCAGGAGAGAGAAGTGCAGGGGAAACTGCCACTTTTAAAACCATCATATCTCATGAGAACTCCCTCACTATCATGAGAACAACGTGGGGGAAAACACCCGTATAATCCAATCACTCCCCAACCAGGTTTCTCCCTCAGCACGTGGGAATTGCAGTTGGAGCTGAGATTTGGGTGGGAGCACAGAGCCAAACCATGTCATCCGTTTTTCCAGTTGGCTTCATAATTGAGCAGTGGTTCTTCATCTGGTCTTTCCTCCTTTTTTGTGAGGTTTAGAAATCAAGATGGTAGCTAATACCTAGTTGATTTTCCAGATAGGGTAAGGAAAAACTTAATGAAACTTGAAACCCGTATTTTCATAATTTATGAAATCAACAATATTGATTAAGGGAATAACAATAAGTACTCCTTCAATTCCCTAAATGTCCTCCCTATTGCCTTCCCTTTAAAGGAACTAGTTATTTCATCTATACTATTTAGTTATCTGTAGACTTTTCTAGACTTTTCTATTGGGCACTTTTTACCTCTTTTTCTTAGGACATCAAGACTAGCTATAGAAAATTAGCTAAAGGAATTTTTAAAATACCTAATGTGTTATAAAACAATATGTATATTAACTTATGTTTAAGATAATTATATTTAATTATACATATTTAACAAAATAGAGAAGTTTTCTTCATTCATAGTCACCTTATGTAATCTTTATTTTTTATTTTATTTATTTATTTTTTTGAGACAGACTCTCACTTTGTTGCCCAGGCTGGAGTTCAGTGGTACAATCTTGGCTCATTCCAACCTCCACCTCCTGGGTTCAAGGGATTCTTCTGCCACAGCTTACCAAGTAGCTGGGATTACAGGCACATGTCACCACACCCAACTAGTTTTTGTATTTTCAGTAGAGACGGGGTTTCACCATGTTGACCAGGCTGGTCTCGAACTCTTGACCTCGTGATCCACCTGACTCGGCCTTCCAAAGTGCTGGGATTACAGGTGTGAGCCACTGCGCCCAGCCAATTTTTTTTTTTTAATTTTAGTAGGTTTTTGAGAAACAGGTGGTGTTTGTTTACATGAATAAGTTCTTTAGTGGTGATTTCTGAGATTTTGGCGTGCCCATCACCTGAGCAGTGTACCCGATGTGTGGTCTTTTATCCCTCACCACCTTCTGCTCTTTCCTCAGAATCCCCGAAGTCCATTGTATTGTTCTTACGCCTTTGCATCCTCATAGCTTAGCTCCCACTTATGAATGAAAACATATGATGTTTGGTTTTCCATTCCTGAGTTACTTCATTTAATCTAATATAATCTTATACTATCATCAGCATCACAAAATATACAAATATTTTGAGCATGAAAACAATATCCTTGGTAATGCCACAGAGAGAGTCTGCTTAAAACAGCAGGAAGTGTTATATTTCTTAACACATGGTATTTTCATGGTCTTTACCTCAAAAAAATTAAAGGACTGTAGAAATTCTTTATATACTTTCTCTAAATTAATAAATGATAGGTTATTGACCATAGCCTCTTAAACATAACTATATTTCTAAACATTGTTACCTTTTGAAATGAACTCCACATATTTATGAAGAGTAGATATCCTTTTATTTATTATACAAGTACCAGCACTAAGCTTGACAGGCTGTCTCTTAGATCTGGGGTTTACAAGTGTCAGTCCTTAGACTTATGCAAGACTGGCTTCATAAGAGTCCTAAATAGAGTTTCCA